TAAAAAATACCGAGTATAAAATTTTAACTTCAAAAGACAAAAACTATTACTCCGAATAAATTATGGACAAAAATATGACAAATCTCTCAAATTAAAGTATATCATTGAAATCATTATATCATGATCACTAAAGTTACTTCAAAAAATGATACTACTACGTAATGTAATATTAGTTGCAAACGGAAATCTGGATCTCGACTCCACATAACATAGCTTTCATTAGAGGTGCTTAATTAGTTGCCTCTGAATGGATATGATCTCCTGTGAAAATCACGCATGCATGGCTCCGATCTCGACTGCACAATGCTTGAATTGATATGATGTAGGTGATTGCCTTCCAAATACTAGTGGCAGAAAAGTATATATTTCCCCATGATAAGCTATAAATAAACTGATTATTATTAATCAAGTACAAACGTGCATAATGTAGAAATGTTTCATATGTGATTAAGGTTGATAGTCAAGTGATGATAATTGATCCTTAGATAAGGCAAATTTATTGAAATTACACCAAAGTCGTTTAGAGAACTTTCCCTTAGGAAGGGAATTGCTCTAAATAATAAGAGTAAAGAGTAAAGACGTTCTGAAATTCCAAATCAAGACTATTCACTACAAAAAATCCGCGTTATAGTCACGGACTATTATATTTTTCTTTCAAAAGTAGAAGTTGTTATTGTCATAATTGAAAAATATTGTTATTATTGATATTGAATGCTCTCATGTTAATGCATAGTATTGTAACTATTTTGACAGTAATTACTGCAATAAGATGGTTGTGAATGATGTCATGTTATTCCTATTTCGAGAAAAAAAATTACTCCTATTTTAAAATTCCAAAACATATTTACGTCTAATTCAGGAACTTTCCCTTAAGTAATGGTTATGACAGAGATTTTTTGGATTTTTTTCGAAATTTATGAACAAAAATGTGACTAAAGTTAATATGAGACTTTAGGGCAACTACGACGTAAGGTTGAACATAATCTTAATAATTAAAAGTGATTTTAGTCCCAGTTTTTACCAACATTAACTTCATTTTGGAAATATACGTATTAAGTGATGGTGGTATGGGCTCGACCCATAACCCAGTAAATTAACTCCGATAAAATCCGAGAAAAGAACATGGATTTGCCCAAGAATAGAGCGTTAATTAATGAACAAAGTTTAGTTGAGGTCAGACTCCTCTAGAGCTTACGCAGTTACGCGGCATCCCATCCGTAACGGGTAACTAACTGGCAGCGGCAGTAGCTACTAGTTGAAACATGGGCATTAAGGGCTTGTTTCCAACCAATTAAAAAAAGTGATTTTGGCTTTTTTTTTTTAAGAAAAAAGCACTTATTTTTCCAAAGGCTAAAGGGTCAAATAGATACATGAACTAACTTAAAGTGTTCAATTAGCCCCATATATAAGAGGTTCTGCCCGGCCCTCGCCAATTGAGGCGGTTCCCGGTGGAATTTTTTGATGGAATTTTTTGTGCATCTTCTTCATTAAGTCTAGTTTACCCATACCAAATTTCAGCTAAAAAATAAATCGTGAAGGCAGTCAAATGATTTTCCGAAATGTACTGCGCTGTTTAACTGCGCAGTTATCTTCAAAAAATCATTTGATCGCCTTCCCGGTTGAATTTGTAGCTGAAATTTGGTATGGGTAAACTAGACTTAATGAAGAACATGCTCAAAAAATTTCATCAAAAAATTCCACCGGGAACCGCCCTAATTGCCGACGGCTAGGCAGAAGCTCCTATATAAGGGGCTAATTGAACACTTTAAGTTAGTTCATGTACCTATTTGACCCTTTAGCCTTTTTCCAAACACTACCAACTTTTACTTTCTCGATTTCGTGTAGAATCTACTTTTTACTTTTTCTATTACACAAAAAGCACTTATTTTACCAAATACTACCAACTTTTACTATTAATCACTTTTTTCCCAAAAAGTGCTTTTATTTAAGCACAAGTGGTTGCAAAGAGAGCCTAAGCACAAGTGGTTGCAAAGAAAGCCTTAGGCTCTGTTTGCAACCACTTGTGCTTAAATAAAAGCACTTTTGGGGAAAAAGTGATTAGTAGTAAAAGTTGGTAGTGTTTGGTAAAATAAGTGCTTTTTGTGTAATAGAAAAAGTAAAAAGTATATTCTACACGAAATCCGAGGAAGTAAAAGTTGATAGTGTTTGGTAAAATAAGTGCTTTTTTCTTAAAAAAAACCAAAATCACTTTTTTTAATTGATTGCAAACAAGCCCTAAGGGTTGTAAATAAGTTAAAATGTAGGGGTGAGATCGGTCCGGTTTGGGTCGTGTTTTTGCTAAACCCGGAAATTACCCGAAAGGTCTCGGGTCATGAAAATTAGGGACCGGAACAAAGCCCATTATATTCGGTGTGAGTCGGATTTTTGGTAGCCCGGGTTCAGTCCGGGTTCGGGTTGGACCGGTTAAAGCCCGGACGTGAAATATGTCTTTGTTCTTTTATATTTCCACACTTATTTTCAAATAAAATTAATCAAAAATACAAACCGCAAATAATAACAGAAATATTAGTCTCCAAAATCACCAACAATTCAAATTTAAAGAAGATAATTATCTTAATATTTTATGTAAGATGTATATATATAAATAATATATGTTTCTTAAAAATATTACGAAATAAATTTTATAAATCAAAAAGTTACTATAGTTGCTATAAATATATTCTCACGGTCATCATTACGCTAAACAAATTCAACATATTTGTAGTCACTAAAAGTTACTAAATCTTTTTTTATCCACCGTGATTATAATCATATACTACCTCCGTTCTTAAATAAATGCAACATGTTGAATTTTATATTATTCACATGTTGTACTTTGACTATGTTTTATTAATTAATGTATTAATATATTTTTATGAAAAAAATATTGTTAAATTTGTCTCATTGTAAATTTTCAAAATCTAATTTTATACTCCCTCCGTCCCGCAAAGATGTTCCCATTTATTATTCATTGGTCAACTTAGGTCACTCCTAATCTTTTACTTTATATATCAAATTTTTATCAAATTGAAATTTTCTTGATCAGGCTTTGTAGCGGTTTTAATGTAGTTTCTGAATATGTAAATTTTATTTACTAAAAATAATCTGAGTGTGAACACGGATCGAGTTGCTTTATCGTCAGTCAAGCATCGTAAACCGAACGGGAACATCTTTGCGGGACGGAGGGAGTAATTTTTTTACTAATACAAAATTATATATATTAATGGTCAAAGTTGTGTCTCGGCAAATGTGAAATGTTAACCGTTGCATTTATTTAAGAACGGAGGAAGTATTAGGAAATATTTTATTTATATTCATATACTATATTAATTTTATATTAAAACTAATTGTTTTGGGTTTTTTCGGTCCGGGCCGGGTTATAGATTTTAAGGCCCGTTAATGAGCCCGGAATTTTCGGTTCGGTCCAGGTTTTTTTAATTCGGGCCGGTTAAAAAGAAAAAAATCCGGACCGGGATAATTGTAATTGACTCTTGCAGTTAGAATTGTGCTCCATAATTAAGTAATACTTCGTATTTCCTTTTTATTAGAGCAGTCTTTTTATGCAACAGGGGGTTGAAATATTGTAACACATAAATACGTAATATATACTCCGTATATCTAACATAGACATAATATATCTCACATACGTACTACGGAATATTGTTACGTTCTTAATAGAGAGGATTAACTCTTTATCAGTTTTCATATTAATAAAAATAAAAATCATCAACCATCAATATCTATCTATGTCATCCTCTCTTATCTTGTGAGCTAAATAGAGGTTTAGAATGCCTTAATTTTCAATTGATTGTAATGGCTTGTATGTACTTGGTATCTGCCTGATGTGTTATTTGGCTAATAAACCTGGTGTCCACTATTCATCATATGTTAATGATTGGCCTAATTAATGATATGCTTGCTCTATTTAGTGGGACCGTGATGGTCGCCACTCCACCCTCCTTTACATGTCATGAAGTATACGAGCTTAGGGTCAAGATGTGTTGGCTTCAAGCCTTCATATTTGACCCGGGGATAGCGGTAAATTTTGATTGGATATAAATTTTAGGGAAAATACCACCACTATTACCATACCATAGAGAGAGAAAATAGACTCATGGAAGAAGGAACTAAATGAAGGTCTATTCTCTTGTTTAGACTTTAGAGATTATTGTTTAGAATTGGATCATATTTGCTGAAATTGAATTACAAGCAGTCTAGCATGATGAAATAGCACTACCAGAAAAGTGCCAAATTGGCACAACTTTTGGCACGGCGGCTTTCATTTTTTTGCCCTGCCTACCGGTTTTGGCACGGCCTTGGCACAAACACCGAACTCGTTCCACCTGAGGCCTGCCCAATCAAATGGCACACGTATATATGCCCAGGGGCGGAGCCAGGGCACTGGGTCGGACTGGGCCGGTACACAGAATATTTTTGGAAAAAAAATTACACGAAATTTTTTATCTTAAAAATTAAGCCATTTTTAAAATTTGGGGTGGGCCATGGCCTAGGTTGGCTCACCCCTAGATCCGCCCATGTATATGCCGTGCCAAATGTCAGCACGGCGTCTGGCATAGACGCCACACAGCCCAAATAGTTGACGGAATGCCTAAAAAGTTTCTGTCAAAATTTGGCACGGCGAGAATTGTGCCAAAAATCGCATAGAAATTTGAAATTTGGGGCCAAAAATAGAAGAGATTTTTGAATTTTGGAATGGGGACATCGTGCCAAAGGTATGTCCTCGTTTTGAAAAGTTTGAATGTGGCACGCTGAGGCCGTGCCAAACCTTTCCAGTTATAATGAATTTTTTGAATATTGGCACGAAGGTAATGTGCCAAGAATGCCATCTGTGGTATGTGGTTTTAAGCATGGGCACGAAGAAGCCGTGCCAAATAGAAATTAATTATAAAAAATTAACCCATATATAAATATAGATATACACGTATATCTATAAAGATATATGGGCCAATTGTTTTTTGTATCAGAACCATTATTCCAACCAAACACAATCTTCATACACAAAAAAGGTAAGCAACTACAACAATCAGACACCATTCCAACCACACAAACTTCATACAAAATAAACAGTAAACATCATTCCAACCAAGCACATTAAACAAGCAAAAAATCAACATTGATATCATCATCATGGAACATAAGTATCCATCAAGACCTCCCCAACAAATCCATCAAAAACAGAAAAAATAATTAAGTGTTTGGGAAAGAGGTACTAACATTTCAAACCATTGGGAGGGAGGTATTAACATTACACACCATTAAGAGGGACAAAGTCATCACCAAAAAATTAAAGTCATCAACATTCAGTGCACCTGGCTGAGTCGGGGCTAGCTAAGTCGGGGGGCACGCTGATTCGGGGCTAGCTGAGTCGTGTCTGGCTGAGCCTGGAAGGGAAACTCGGGTATCACTATGTCGGGGTTAGTAGTTTTTAACTGCCGTAAAATAGTAGAAAAGCAACCTGACATAGCTGCCATTTGCGCATCTTGTTCCTGCTGTTTTTTTCTTGTTGAAGTATTTTATCGTTTTGGGCCTGCAATTTCTATTGAATTGCTTCAACTTCTTCAGGAGTACGACCAAGGGGGCCGATCACCGAGGATGAATCCAGCACTGTAGTTTTAGCCCGACTGCCATGCCCGAACCGGCGGCTCTTGTACTTTGGTGTGGCTCTCAAAAACAGATCATTGTCTTCGATTGCGGATATTTGACTATCTGATTGACTGGCAGCTTGCTCCTTGAGATCATTGTACTTTCTCTAAAAAAATTAGAATACAGTTAATACATTACATAAAACATTTTATGTTAATACATTACATAAAACATTTTATAATTAAAAAAATTACTCACGAGGCGGCGGATCACCCGTCTTAGGGACATAGCACTTTTCATAAATTTCAATAGAAAGCGGATCCCGATTCAACTCCGCGGCCTTGAAAAATATACTAATTAATTTCATATTTTAATTTAAAAAATGCCAATACAACTATGACTATTTTTACCAATTTTTCAGCATGTGCATCCACACAACTTCTACCACCTCTGTACTGAGACTGGATAGCAGCAGGGGTATTCCTATTTTTACTTCCAACAGTACTCTTCTTCTTAAACTCGTCACTGGCCCAATATATTGTCATTGTCAGACAATCATTATCCGCTACCCAATCTGGCTTCACAGTTGGATTCACATTGCTTCCTCTATGCTTCTTTAACTTCTTACTCAACCAATGGGAGCCCCGGGACTCAAACAGCTCCCTCATCTTTATGTTGAGCCGAGGATCCCATCAGTATGAGTTCTAATAAAATACACACAAATAAAGATTAAAACAAAACCTATTAGATTTTATAGCAAACACCAAAACTTATTAATTCAATTAAATTCAATCAATTACCGTAAACAAAAACCATCGTCGATTTCGCTGCTCTTCCGAAGCATTTTGAAATGAATTCCAAGGCCCGTGAAAATTTCCCATAATTATCTCCTTAATTCTGGTCAACACAAATTGCTTGTTGCATGTTCATTTTTAAATCAATAAATAAATAATAACCGAAAATGTACAATTACCTTGACTTTTTTTCTCCAAGGGGTCTGGGAGAGGGGGTTGGGGGGCTGGAGTAATCAGGGCTGAAACTCAATGGAGTGACCCCACTGAGTTTCGAACCCTTATGTGTCTAGCGGGTTTCGAACTCGAGACCCCACTAGGCACGGAGGGTAGTTTGACATAAGCTCACGGCATCTATAATGCTATAATGTGCACAGTATACATGTGGCATGAGAGATAGTCACATAAATATTACGGAGTATCAAATAAATTATCTCTCTCCTTATTTGAATGGTTTTATACAATTTTGTTAAGTTTTTATCTGCAATATCAACATCTAGACGATCTTTTTTATCATTGCAGAGAAAAACTAATCAAAATTATATAAAATCATTCAAATAAGGAGAGAAATAATTTATTTACTACGGAGTAATATTTATGTGGCTATATCATGTGTGCATCGTGCACACTGTAGCATTGAAGATGCTCTTATGGTAAATTAAAATGTTGCACTGAAACGCAGGGATTGATATATTTTCAAATCAGTTGATTGATTTTAGATCTTGCCAAGCTCAACTCATCCTCCGAACAATTAATGCTACATATAGATTTATTTTGAGTAAAGGGTCAGATTGGTATTCGAAGTTGCATAAAAAGGCCGGGTCAAATAAGTCCTTATATAGGAGACTTTGTCCGGCCGTCGCCATTTGGGATGGTTCCCGGTGCAATTTTTGACGAAATTTTTTGAGCATCTTATTCATTAAGTCTAGTTTACTCATACCAAATTTTAGCTCAAACTTCAATCGGGAAGGCATTCAAATGAATTCTTGAAGATAACTGCGCTTTTAACTGCGCAATTATCTTCAAGAATTCATTTGAATGCCTTCCCGATTGAAGTTTTAGCTGAAATTTGATATGAATAAACTAGATTTAATGAATAAGATGCTAAAAAAACTCATCAAAAAATTCCACATGGAACCGCCACAAATGGCGACGGTCGTACCGTTAGGACTTATTAGACCCTTTTTATGCAATTTCGAGGATCAATCTCACCATTTACTCGATTTGTTTTATACTTCCTCCGGTCCTTTTGGATATTGAATCTCGGCCTACTATCATTCCGGAATCCCAATACACTAGCTTGTATTGCGTCAAATAAATTACACCATTTTTACTCTTTCGGTTCCACATTAAAATCAAGTGACCATACATTATGTCATTATCATACATTAATATTTAAACATACAAATTCGTGTCGAATTAACATCAATATTTATGCATACAAATTTGTGTTCATTAATATTTATACATACAAATTCTTTTCCTTTTAAGCATCCCGAACTTATAATAAAACACACAAATCTAATGAATATATATCGTTGAATTACAAAACTGAGTAAACAACACTCAAATTTAAAATTGCATGCATGTCAATGATATTGAACAAGTGTACAAAATTTGCCACATTGATCGGGCTTAAGAAAAAATGTGTCAGGTATCAGAAAATAATTAAAATTCAAAATAAAGTTATATTTCGAAGGTAGTTGAAAATTAGTGATGGCGATACCTTCGAATGGTGGAACTTATGAGCATCATGAAATTGATATTTTCCTATTACCGGATATCAATTAAGACCGAGCCCAAGATTGCGAAGGATCTTTAAAATATTTTCTTGATACGATGATGAAGTGCATCTTAAATTAATGATTCTCTGATTATTTGAGCTACAAGCACAGAACTACTACTAAAAAACTTGTAAAATGACATTCCAACATTAAGGTCGGAAGCTAGACACTATTCTTATAAAACGGTATTCATCTTCTTCAACCTTTTTGAGATAATTACCGTGCATATGACCAAAACTTATGCACTTTCTCAATCTATGACCTAAGTAGTTTTTTTACCAAAATAATATTAAAATTCATAATATTTAATAAAAATTCGTAATAAATAAATAAATAAATAATTTAGGTGGACAAATATACCCTTTGGTTATATCTATAAAACCCTAAACTCCTACTCTTTTCTCCAACCCTAACCTCCATTCTTCCACCTCCTGAGATCCACCGCCTGCAGCCGCACCCCTGCCGCCGCTGCCCCTGTTGTCGTCGCCCCCATGGAGCACAATCGCCAGCCACATGTGCATCCAGTCGCTTGGGGTGGTGGTTGCCGGCAGAATCGAACAAGAAATGACTAAAACGGACGCCTAGGGATTGGGATGGGACAATAGCCGCCGCTATGGTGCTCGTTCAGGCAGATTCACGGTGACCAGCGACTCTCCTTCCACGAACATCTCTTTCTTTTATTTTCAACTGCATCTTTTAATCTCGTAGATCAAGCTTTTAATTCGTTCAAGCAACGAGCGGTGCAGATTGGAATATGGAGTTTATTAGTTCTATATGGAACGGTAAATTTAATGATGATGAGAATAGGTTTGTCTCTAGTCATGTAATGGTCAAGTTGATTATGAGTGTCAATTATCAATTTCTACCGTTCGTTCTTTCTCAATTTTTTGAGATTAAATTTTATTAAATTTAGGGTTTGTGAGCATTAAATATGGGCATTGAACAATGATAGTGAACAATATTTTGTATTGAATATGTGCAGTGAATATACATGGTAATAGATATTTTGTACAACACAGTGAATGAATGCAAGTATTTTTGTTATACAGTGATGTATTGCAGTAACACAGAGCAGTAATATCATCATGCAATATATTCAAATAGACATAAAATAATAAAATTATTTAATCTAAAAAACAAAAACAAAAACAAAAAGTAAAAATAAATTCCTCAAGTGAATGCGAAGAAAATTAAATTTGGCGGAAGTGCAGTGATAATTACCGAATGTGCAGTAAAATTGTGCATTAATGTCGTGCATTACCAACAATATAAAATGCAGTAATTTTAATAATACGAAATTAGTGCAAAATGCACATATTATAAATAGGGGTATTTTTGTCATTCTACCTTTAATTATAAACGAAATTAATTTATTTTTTTGGATTTTTGGTCATACAAAAGTATAAAAACTAGTTAGGTCATAGATTGAGAAACTCATTAAGTTCTTGTCATATCCTAGGAAAATTCCCTTTTTTATACTCCGGGTAATAGTTTTTCTAATAATTGAATTCACATTTCGGTTTTTATATATTATGTAATTAAATGCTTTTATAGTGAGTTCTAGATATAGTGATTATATTAATGACTTTAGTTATAATAATTTATATTCAATTACTTAAGTAATCGTGACATTATGTTCAACAACAGCGGAACCAGAAAAAACAACTCATGCGATTGAAACTTAACTAAATACATAATTAAAAAAGGTGGATCGTTTTTAAACATTTCCTCAATTAAATTATTCATATGTAGCTTATTAGATAATGGAAATTTAAACGAGATTTACAAAATTATAGATTTAATATATACTTCGGTATGTCATATACATTATAGATTTAACGTGAGTAATGAGTGATTAGACGTTGTTTTTAAAATTTGATGAGAATTTAATCAATGTTACACGTCAAATTTTACTCATTTATGTGTAGATAGTCCTGATTTTTCATAAATCAAAACTTTTTACTCAGATCATAATGAGTTACCCGAGCCATATTATATCAAATTGAAGGTGTTACAATGCTTAATGTTCTCAAATTTTCAGTGGATCAGCTTACCACCCTGACTAGGGGTGGGACTTTGGAACCAAGAACCGGAAAACCTTTGGAACCGAACAGTTAAAATCCGGTTCGGTTCCTACACATGAATTATAAATTGCTATCGGTTCGGTTCTTATTCTTTATTTACGGTTCGATTCCTGGTTCCTACAAAAATTATGTCTATGGAACCATTATTAAAAAAATTATAATTATAACTAGTAATAATAATAATAATAATAATAATAATAATAACATTAATAACAATAATAATTATAACAATAATAATAACAATAATAATAACAATAATAATAACAATAATAATAATAATAATAATAAAAATAATAACAATAACAATAATTATATTAACAACAATAGCAAAAATAATATAATCGATGATATTTAATCACACAACAATTTAAATTTAATTGAAGGAAGCGGAAGAGGATGAATGCATTAACCTCATTTTTTAACAAATCATATTTTGTTCCATCACATAAATTTCATAATTATAAAAGTAAATCAAATTAGTTCGTTTTGGTTTGATATTTTTTTTATAATATTCAAGATGATTGAAATTGTCAGATTTAGTGTAAATAATGCTCCTAGGATTTGGAAAGTAATGATTTTTATATTTGTACTTGCGTATTCAACATGTTTTTTTACGTTTTGAGGAACTTGAACTAGACGGCTTATTCTAATATGATGACACAACTTTTATTGATGTCAAACAACAACGATTTTTCATATGTATTTACAAACAAAATTATTCAAAAGTTATTTTAATCTATTAAGTGTTGAATAAATAGTTTGGACTTGATGTTTGAAGCGATAAGAGCTTCAAAAAGCACTTATTGCTTGTGTTTTGAATTTTTGACATTTTTGCATTGAAGTAAATTGTGTCAATTTTTTAATGGAAAAAAAAAAGTATGCTTAGGAACCGATAAAAGTAAGAACCGAACTGTTATCTATTAGTTCGGTTCCATAACGGTTCTTGAAAATTCATATAGGAACCGAACCAATTTCATTTGTTAAGTTTTTTGTAATGGTTCCACTAATTTCATATAAGAAC